AATCGTATGTTTTGACAACAAATCATACTCCCATTGAGAGGTGCTGTATTTCGCTGAAAGATGATACACTTAATCACTGAAAAACTTTATTAATCATTTCATGTGTTTCATTGCCTCCTATGTAAGTCATCAGTTTTTATTTATTGTTGTGGTATAGAAATACACTTAATAAAAGATAAATAAATATGGAAGATTGACATGTCGAATGGAATAAATTGTAAAAAGCCTGAATTAATGAAAGAAGGAAATAAGTTTAAAGAGCAAAAGGCAACATTTGAAGTGATAGATAGGCATGATAGAAGCAAGGATAGTTTGGGAAAATAAGAAAACTTGGAAGATATAATTAATGTGTTAGTGTAAAGTAAATTTAGCTGTATTTTTCTTTTCTTATCTCATGTCTTTAAATTGTTTTGCCTAGTAATTCTTACTGCCTTGAAGCAATTTGAATGTTTATCCCAAAAGGGAGCAGTGTGTGTTTTACACAGAGAAAGGCAAGGTATCACACATTTCAGAACTCTTTAAATGTATAGTTTATAGTAATATACTATAAATATATAAACTATTTGCATATTAAACTTGAGTGGGAGTCATAGCAATTCAAGACAAAATGATGGAAGGGAGAATGCCTCATTTTCTTTTAAAATATAAATTCTCTGTGGTTTAGAGAAGAATCTTTCCTTGTCTGATAATTTGATATTCAAACTAATTTAAACATCAATAACTTTCTTCTATGGATATCAGTCAATGCCCACTGACATATAAATATTAAGAATGCCCAAAATAAATTTTGTGCAAGTATAACACGTTTAGACCCAAAGGTACTCTTTCAGGAGGCAACTGGACCTTCTTGTTTTTTCTTTGAAGACATTTCGCTTTTCATTCAAGAAGTTTCTTCAGCTCTGACAGGATAGTGGGGAATGGAAGGATTTCTATTCCTTGCAGACAGCTGATCATTTGCATCCTTTTAGGGTCGTTGAAGCACTTGGAGGTTTCTCTGTGCCCTCAGGGTCACCTGAGTAGTGCTCCTGGTTTTTGTAGTGTACAATTTTTATTTTCTTCCTCTGGAAATCCATTCCTACTTCCACACCATTCAAAGTAGAAGTCTGAACCATTTTCTCCTTTTTGGCCTCCACGCACCTCATTTCCGGCTTCTGGGCAACCCATTTTTGGCCTCCGCATGTCCCATTTCGGCCTGTTCCAGGCAGCAGGGATCGCCACTGATCGCTGCCACCCATCATTGCCGTTCATTGCCACTGCCATTTGGCAGTGATGAAAGGCAGCGGTGATTGGTGGGGTTCGGCAGTGGTGGTGATAGATGGCGGCGATTGGCGGCGATATCCACCTCCGGAAACGGGCTGAAAACAGGATGCGCAGAGACTGAAAACGGGGTGCACGAAAGCCGAAAAGTCGAAGGCTGGGGGCTGGTGGGTGGGCAGGGCTCTGGCAACGTTTGCTCTATAAGACGCACAAACATTTCTACCCATTTTTGGGGGGTGGGGGAGTGCATCTTATACTGCAAAAAATACGATAGTCATTAAGGCCTGAGACCAGAAAGCAAAGACTGGGAGTTAAAGTATTGTCTTAGCCATTAAAACCAGCTAGATGACTTTCAGCCAGTCACTTTCTTTCGGTCCAACTCACCTCACAGGATGTTGTTGTGGAGAAAACAGGAGGAAATTGTGTTGAATATGTTTGCCGCCTTGAGTTATTTGTAAAAATAATAATAAAGGTGGTATACAAATAATATTGGCACAAACTTGTAAACACAAACATAGATAATGATGAAATAGCCACATCTAGGTGCATCTAGGTACAAAACAAAATTTACAGATCACAGAATTTGATTCATATAAGTACACAGAAATTACTATCCATGATAGAAAAGAATAATAAACATTATAAAAGAAAGATGGAATTCTCCATAACCTCACGTTACTATGAATATGAATGAAGAACTTGAATGGGAAAAACTAACAAACAAGCAATCCAACATGCATAAAGAGATTGGTGTTCATTGCTTTGCACATAAAAGCTATTTTCATTTGACAGTTTCTTCCTTGGAGAAACCTGCCTCATGTGCATTTAATACCAAAGTACTATGTAACCGTTGTGGTACCTGTCACATGACTTTCTGCTAAGAAAAAGAGTAAATCAATTAACTTGCCAAAGAGGGAGGGAGGGAGGGGTCAAATGAGTACTGAAACTCATTCGTTCATACTCTCTTTGCCCACTTGAGAAAGTCAGGGATCTGTGAACCAGAGAGACGTGGCATTAAATACTTTTGTTATAGAAGAACTCCTGCATCAGGAAAGGAGGCAGAGAGAGGGAGGGACAGAGAGAAAGAAAGAGAGAGAAAGAGAAAGAGAAAAAGAGAGAGAGAGAACAGAGGAAGAGGAAACTGAAAAGACCAGAAGCTTCTGCTCCCTCCAGATTTAAAGGGCCAGAGCTCTTCAAAATCAGAAAGAACCACAATGTAAAAAAGCAAAGGCAAAAAAAAAGAAACACTTTTTTTGACTGGCAAATGTAGCTACACAAGAAGCTAGAAAGTGACAAGAAGAAAATGACTTCACTCTGTTTCATAGAGCCAAAGGAAAGGGCTTCAAACCCAACAAGGAAAAAAATCCTGGGATGACATAAGCATGACACTTCTGCTACCCACCCCCAATATGGATCCTCAATTCCAGTGAAGTTTTTAGTTTCATTTGGAAAGCATGCTGTCAAAGGGAAGGCTGTTCAATATGGAGAATTTACATGTTTCATGATCATCCCTCTATAAAAACATGTATTTTGGAAGGATCAGGGAGTTAGAAGAGATCTACGTGAGGAAAAATGTATGCTAAAAACAAACTGAGACTTTGGCTAATGTAATGGCTGAAAGGGAGCTGCCAAATGGGTTGGTTAATATGGAATAATGCTTAATATTCATATGCAGGCTTTTGTGCATTGACAACAGAGCACTCACTGTTAAGTCAGAATAAACCTTAGCTCCTTGGAGTTCATAATTTTTATTTCTCATATTAGTATTTTATCATAAAAAATACAAAATACTAAAACAAACAAAAGCATACATTCAACCCTAACAACAACAAAAAGAAAAAAAATGTATGCAAAAAAAGGAAGAAAAAGTGATTAGTGCTTTTTTCCCCCTTTCAGTACTCAGACAGGGTGAATCCTACATATTAAATGGAGTTCATGTTTTTACTGATTACATTGTGGAAATCAGAACTATTGCATCATTTTGCATTATTTTTTAAGAGATAAGAACCTATTTAATACATCAACTTTATTCCCACCAGCCCCTGAATTTCGTTTCTGATCTGTCTGAGGTAACAAAACTTTTTGCGATGAGTCCTGCAGATTTCTAAAGCTGAGCACCACATACAGCCTCCCCAGACATGCCTTCTGTTCATTCTATGACTGAACTTATCTACTTTGGGCAAACAATAATGTTCCAGAATTTTTAAAGTTAAATGCCAAATTTTGGGAGCACACAATCATGATTTCAGTGCTGCATTTGGCCAGAGAGGAAAGGAGGATTCTGCCTTCTCTTCCACTGGTGCATCGATTTGCATTAAGGAATTTAACTTCCCAAATTGTTGGCCAGTGTGAGTACCAGAATGTGGTCTTGGCCTAATTGAATGAGCACTTAAATTCTCCCACTGGCATTGATGTCTACTGTTAGAATACGGAGATGGAATAAATTAAAATCAATTACCTAAATTAGGCCTGACTAACCTGTCATCTTTCTGATATGGTTATGCCACAACTGGTCACCTCCAAGGAGATTTGCCTTAAATAAAGCCATTCAAAGAAACAGCAAATGGAAATGAGTCCTGCTCAAGGGGTACAAACCCCATAGTAGCAGTGCTTTATTTCCAAAAGGATGAAACAATAATATTAATAGCAATATTATTCTTTGCTACACACATCCGTTTTAATACTTGATAAATGGAAACACCTTACACACACACACACACACACACAAATACATATGCACAAAACCTACTATAGGTACCCTTTGACTTACAACAGTTTGTTTAACAACCATTCAAAGTTACAATTGCACTGAAAAATGTGACCTATGACCATTTTTCACAGTTACAACATTTGCAGCATCCCTATGATCATGTGATCAAAATTCAGATGCTTGGAAATTGGTTTATAGTTATGACCTTTTGATGTCTCAAGGTCATGTGATCCCCTTTGCGTCCTTCTGACAAACAAAGTCAATGGGGAAGCCAGATTCATTTAACAACTGGTTTACTTATCAACTGCAGTGATTCACTTAACTGTGGCAAGAAAGGTCATAAAATGGGGCAAAACTCATTTCACAACTGTCTCATATAACAATATAAATTTTGGGCCCAACTGTGTTTGTTAAGTTGAGGACTACCTGTAGTCAGTCAATAAGATAGAAAACGAACTTTCCTGCTCCAGGAGTACTTTGGTCTATTCTTAAATGACTCTAGGACAGCAATCCTCACTTAACAACGTTCTCTTTTAGCAATTATTTGAATTAAGATGATCTTGAAAAAGTAACCTTACCATTTGTCTTCACTTTTATGATTCTCTCAGCATTCCCACAATCACATGATGGGAGATTTGGGCGCTTTGCAACCAGAAAGCATTTTAGTCATGGCAGCTCTCCTCAGTCCCATGACTGCCCCTTGCACACTTTACAGCCATCTTCTGACAGCTAGTCAATGGAGAACCGGCAGTAAAATTGCAAGTCACCCTCATGAGACTGTCCTGCTTAACCGGGACAAGGTTGCAAGCCCACCGCAATCACGTTATTATGTCTTAACGATGCTCAGTTACTAAGTTGCCTGTTCCAATTATGGTCGTTAAGCGAAACCAAATGCCAGACATCGATTAAGCTCCTCCTACAGAATCATCAAGAACTAAGCAAACGCTTAATTGGAACCGTCCATACTTAATGGTGCAAAGCTTCTGCATTACGCGCCCCGAAGCGCGCGCTCCCTACCTAATCCCATGCTCACCTTGAAAAGCGCGTAGTGAAGGTATTGGTAAGGAGTGCGCCGCTGAAAGTCTCGCAAAGTCTCGGTCGGCGGGTAGGTGAGCTGAAAGACAGGAAGGTTGCTCTTACATCTCCGCAGGCAGGAGGCCCGCTGGAGGACGAGCCCGAAGTATTCCATCTCCTGGTCTTGGAGACCCTCGCCGGGCGTGACCCCTGAAGCATTTTCGCCGCATCCCGCGCTGCCTTCAAGCTCTGCAAAAGAGTCGCTTTTCAGAAGCAGCTCCGAAGGAGACGGGCTGCCCTTGGCAAGCTCTGTAAAAAGTGGGCCGGTGCCTAACTTTTCGCTCCCCGCGCATTCCTTATGGCAGTGCGCCTCGCTGTCCTGGAGCAAGCGGTGAAGGCGCAAACTCGCCTCCAAGTAGCGGATACTCTCCCTCCAGTTTTCGCCCTCGTACTGCTCTAACGCATAGGCGTATGCGCTCTGCAGAGGCATCAGCTCAGCTTCTGGAAAGCCGCGGAAGCTGTATTTTTCGTATTGCGCGCCCACTCTTGGCGCCGACGCTATTAAGAGTAGGAGAGCCAGCCATCGTCTCCGCTCCATGCCGACTCTGCGGCCGGCGACTCTCTTCCCCTGACCAGACCAGCTACTTGGAGGCCCATCAGGAGTCTCTGGGAAGCAGGGGGAAGGCAGACGGGACAGACAGATTTGGATTCCGCAGGGTCTTAAGCGCGCCCTGATATAGTTCCTACATTTTTAAAAAAAAAAAGTGGGGGGGGGGGCCTTCCAGGAATTCTTTCCTTTTAAAGTTGAAAAAACGCCTGATTTGTTTGTTTTTAATTCTATCGGTAAAACGAGGCAATGTGATGATTATTTGGCTTCATAATGAGCCAAACCAAAGTGCAACCCCCCCCCCCCCAATTTTCTTCAGGCTTCAGGAAAGACACACAAAATGTATTAAAAGTATCTCTTTTTTTAAAAAAAAATCAAAATACAATAAAACAGTTAAAATATAAAACTGGAGCAAGTCACCTGCAAGATAGAAACAATGACAGAAAACAAAATGAAAGCCAATATTCCCAGAAGTCCAAAGATGTACACTTGAATTATCTTCAAGTGCATTAGATTATAATAGATTAATTGGCAATGCTGATTGTGAAAGATGGGAAATGCTAGGTTAATACTTGATTAATCAGACAAGTCATTCTTTTTCAGCTTTTTTTTCTGATTGGGCATTCAGACATGGATGGTATTATCTTGGTTTCAATTAAGCTTTTGAGAATTCAAGATGGGTTTGCCAGAAGCAAAATATATTTTTAATACAACACAAATTGAAGAGCCACAGAAGAGAATAAAAATAAGAAAGAAGAATTTTAAATCATTCTTGGATGCTTCATAAACTTTATAATATAACTTTTGTAATAAATTGCCATATAGATGTCTTTTTGCAAATACCTTAAATTACAAATCATAAATCAGCATACATAATATTTTCAAATTGTATATTCTCATTGTGGAGCTAATTTAGCACAACTACCCTGCCATAAAATAAAAAAATCCAGATGTAAAAACCAAAGGATGAGTAGTTACATGCACAAACAACTTCTATTATTTAGAGCCATGAAAATTCCCTTGTTTCACTTTGACTTAAATGTAATAAAACATAGTTTCTGGTAAAAAAAACACAAGTAAAATCAAAATATGTGTGGGAGAGTAGATACAATGGATAACTGCAACATATGAATTTGTATGTCTTCTATAAGTTGTTAAAATTGGCCTAACAAATCTATCTTAACCGTATAATGGTACACCCAAAGTAAAACAGATGTATACCCTTCAGAGGAACTTTGAAAACTGAGGCCGGGCCTTTGGTCTCGTTGCAAATGGTGGTAGTCAGAATCCTGGTTTGAATTAATGTTTTTCTCAGCTGCCCCTTTTAAAAAATCTGCTCCACTCTTTGCTTTGTAATACTCTTTTAAAATAAAAATAAGACGTCATAAATTTGTGGATATTTCAGCAATGTCTTACTCAAGTGTATGATCCAACAGATCATAAACTTTCTTGCAGCTGTTGTTTTTATGAAAAGCAAAGAAGAAATCCTGTTTTATAAGACACTTCTTATAGAATTTTAGAATCAGGAAATTCTGTCTTTTTTCAAGTTTTGATTCCTTACTGTAAAGCTTCCAGCCATTGATTTTCATCTGATTGTTGAGTGCTCTGGAGCAATGGCCCCCAACTTTTCTGGCTTTGCAGACTGATGGTGGTAGTGGCAAAGGTGGGGAGGGAGAAGGAATGGTTCTGCACAAGTGGTGAGTAGGTGCGCCCGCTACTTGCATATGCATCAACATGTTCATTCACCCATAGTTTGTACAACCTAGTTCTCAATGGGCTATAGCCCGGTACCGGGCCATGGCCCTGCTCTGAGAATAAATTCACATCCTGCCACCCTCCACTCTGTCACCCTTTTATGTGGGTGATCATGTCTTCTCTTTTTTAAGCTAACCATACCAAATTCCTTTCACTGTTTGAAGAATTTAGCTTCCTAACCCATATCATTTTTGTTGCTCAGGGGTGGTCTGATTTGTGCAAAATAGAGTGGTATTATCACTTTCTGAGAGCGTGACCCTATACCTCTGTTGATGCAAGCGAAAACGACATTGGTTCTTTGGGCAATGGAAGAACATTGCTGGTTTATGCTTAATCTGTGACCTACTAGAATATCCTTCTTGCAAATGCTTCTAAGGCAGGTAAGTAACTATATGTGATTGCACAACTGCTTTTTCCTCTTTTAAGTGTAGAACTTTACACTTTTCATTGTTGATTAGGATTTTTTGGATTAAGGTCCAATGTTCAAGTCTATCAAGATCCTTCTGAATCTTGAGCTTGTCTTCTAGGATGTTAGTAATCCCTCCCCCACTCAGCATTGTGTCATCTGCAAATTGTATGAGTATTCTTTCTATTCCCCAAATCTAAGCCATTTATGTGTAGGACTGAACCTAGGACAGAACCTGCATAACTCCTTTAATTCAGACATAGACCCATTAAGAACTACATGTTGGCCTCAGTTGCTCAGCAACTGGGAATCCCATTGGGTAGAGAGGTCATTCATCCCACATTGTTCCACTTTATTAACAAGTCAAATGCTTAATAACATCTAAATACATAACATCTGCAGCATTCCCTTGTCCCAACATCTAATCACATTGTCAAAGAAACCATTAAGATTTGTCTGGCATGGGCTTTTTGTGACAAATACATGCTAATCACCTTGTTTGTATTTTGTGTGCAAACAAATTCTTTTCTAGGATTTTCTCAGTTATTAATGCGAAGTTGATATTTGTATAGTTTCCTGAGTCTACTTTCTTTCCTGGTTTAAAATAATGAAGCAGCATTGGCTTTTTTCAAGTCTCCTGGCAATTCCTCTATGCTCCAAGCTTTCTCAAAACTTTCAGTCAGTGAATCTGAAGTGACATCTGCCAGTTTTTATAGAATCATGGGATGTAATCCATTTAGGCAACATTCAGTGCACCTGAAAATTTGGGCTTCACCATTGATATGCAACTTTTTTGTCCTGACTTGATTATGCATGTGGGGTCGAATTAAGGGAAAATATTAGAGGCTTGGTTGTTTCCTTGCAGATGTTTCATTACTCAAACTAGGTAACATCATCAGTGTTAGTAAGAAAAGAAACATTTGCAAGAAAACAATCAAGCTCAGAGAGCACCAAGAACTTTCTTTAATTTTTCCCTGCAAAAAAATCCAAAAACATACTGAAAAGTTCTAGCTCCTGTGGATTATCATGCAGAATTGGCATGCTGATAGATTTCCAGGGGATCTGTTTTGGATAATTTTGGATATTTGAACAGGGGTCTTTTTGTATTTTTTCTTTCCCCAAACATTACCATGTTTTATAGTGCTTTGCCTTTTGATCTCCTATTGATAGTATGGAACAGCATGTTTTGCTTAGATTAATAGGAAACTGAAGTTAGAATGGCCATATTTTTTTTTCTAGTTTGATTAATTGCAATTGCTTATTAAATCATATTTGATTGGGTTCATGCCACAGACAATTTTAGCAGGTTGTACAAACAAAGCATTTGAGAGGCTGTTTAAAGACTTGTATGTGTCCCTATATCTGATAGATCCACTTAAGTCCAAAACTAATTTATAAATATTTTTTAAAAGGTCATTTACAATTAGTCTTGGACACCAGACACTGGAATTAACATACATTTAAATTCATATCCAAGTATGTCAAATAACATATACAAATAGCAATATATTTTATATTTATTTTCTAATTATACTTTTCTCTTTTTAAATAATACATAAGCAGGTGATTAAAACTTGGAGGATTAAAAAAAATAGCAAAATTTTGGTTTAAAAAAGCAAAGCAAAAGTTATTTGGTTGTATGAACAACATAAATATGTTACATTTTGCCATGAAAGCATACATTTGTTGTTAGTCGCAAAGTCATGTCTGACCCATTGTGACCCCATGGACAAAGTTCCACGGACAAATCCAATAACTCTCCAATCTTTCCATCTATAAACCACGCCAACGCAGTTATCAGTAGCAGTAGTATCATTTTTATTGGAACAAATAGGCACGAACACATCTTATCTAAACAGGACCAAAATGATTATCAAATAACTATTTAGAATGTCTGCTTTCTGCCTATGTCTACCAGACATTTGCCTGGGGCTTAAGCTATCCCTGCCCCAGGGTAACTTAAGCATTTCCATCCTGATCTTCAGAGCTTCGTCGTCCAAAATCCATCCAGTTCGGGAAATGTGTATCGTCCTCATTCAGATTATTTCCCGTAGCAGCAAGTTCAGCTGTTGGAGAATAGACGTGTGTTAATGGAAGGCCGGTAAAATGGTTCTGACAGTCCTGAATCTTTGGAATGATTCGTTTGATTCTCTGTATCCCAGAAAATAATACCATGGAGTCTTTGTGCTCTCTGGGTTTGACTGTTTGTGTGGTAAAATTGTTAGGGCATTGATGTTATTGCCTAGTTAGGCAATGAAATGTCTGCAAGCAAATAGCCAAGCTCAGAGAGCACTAAGGACTCCACAGTTCAGTCTTGAGTTACATATATTTTCTTCTATTCGAGTAATACTGTCATTAAAAGCTTTGGTTTCCAAAGTACATTTTTGGAATAGAAAGGGGAACTTTCAGAAAGAAAGACTAATTTTTTCTTACTACATGCAGTGGTATCAGTTGCTATTAAAACTTAGTTCCTGCAATGAATATACTCTGAATTTTATCCTCAATCTGCTGTTCACATGGCTACTTGATTGAAGAGACAAAAGTAATGTTGGAATTTTGAAAATTAAAACTAGAGATGTTGTTGCCTGCCAAGGTAATAATGGAACAAAAACTCCTTCCCTCAAAAATTACTCAGGCAAGTTAATTAATATACTAAGAAAGCTGCATTAAAAATAGATTGACACATCCATTAAAATGTACTTTTGGAGGAATGTCTGTTGTAATGAAAAATACCAAGTAGTGTTAGTAGCAGGAGCTGGTTACTTGTCAATTCTATATGAGATCAACTGTAATCCTCCTGTGCAGGATATTTACACCTTAGCAAGAATTCTCCCCCATTCCTTTTAAAACAAGAGCCCAATAAATTACTAAATCCATACAATACAAACAAAGAATAAGCATGATAGGA